CGTCAAGGACAGACTCATTCTTGAGCCTTTTCTTATCCTCTTTTGCCTTCATCTTCACTCCACACTCCATACTTTCCCTTACTTTCCCTTATCGTTCTTTGTTTGTCTGCTCTCCATCTCTCCTTCCTGTGTTTATCCCCTCCTCCTTCACTCTGCCTCTTTCTCACGGCGTACAAGTGGGTTGTTATGGCACATGGGGATGGGGGCAGCTCGCGCTCAACTTCATCAACGTGGCGAGCCTTGTACGTGAGAGGCACGGTGAAAGGGGAGTAAAAAAATAATGAGCAAAATGAATGGTTTCATTGTGCCCTTCATGTTTGTCAGCTTTTTTTTTTTTTTTTTTTTTTTTGCCGTTTGTTTGGCAAATTGCGCTCTTTTAGTTCATAGGTATGTGACAATATATTCTCCGGCGTTGCTAGTCCTCTGCTTTTGCAGATTGACCGGCGAGCGCCGGCTCTATACAACCAGGCAATGCCTTTTTCTTGTGGAAGATAATTGTCTCTATTTCTTACCTCCTACATCAATCTTCTTTTCTGGTTCCTTTTTCTCTGCATTTTTTCTTTGTTGCCTCTGTTGACGAACCTCCCGCGTGCTTTGCAGGAGTTGTATGCCCAATTTGCTGGTTTCATGATAAACTCAGCTACTTCACTTTTTTTTATGACAGATGTTGTTACGGATGTTTTGCTTGGCTCTTTGTCCTTTCAGGTAAGCTTGGTATTGTAACTATAGACATTCCTGCTGTACATCCCTTACATGTACATTCCTTGTGTACAATCTGTTTTGTCTATTCGTTGTGTACAACTGTTATGTACTCTTTTTCCTTCCGTGCACGATGTGATTGTGATGGCGGTCACCGCAAGGGCACGGGTTGTACCCCTTTCCTGTGCAGTGGGTATAGTTACGGCCCGCCTAAGGTTGGCCACACCCGGGCGGCTGCCCCTATGCCCACTCGCCTCTTGTTCCATGTTCTTTGAGATAATCCTTCTACACTGGTTTATGCATGTGTCAACTGCTTGGTGACATCTTTTTATGTAGGCATTGTTGGTCTGTCGGTGCAAGGCTTCTGACATTGCTGCTGTGAGCACACTCATTGGGAGATGCAGTTGCGCATTCAAACCGAGCACCCTCTTTGACAATGCTGCTGATGGTGAATAGCAGACAAAAAGGACGACGGCAGGATCCCGGCCTGGGCCGTCGGGCCTAAAGTCCTTTCACCTTGTGCACTCACCTCCATTTCTTTGCGTTGGAAAATTGAAAAATCGAAAAATGATTGTTCCATAACCATCAACAATGAATCTACAACTAAGGAATAATCAAGGGGCTACCTCGATACTTCCCACCCCTCTTGGGAGATTTCCTGCCGCTGGCATGGCAAGTGTTATACCAAGCTTTCCTCTTGGACACTATGTTCCATTTGCTCATGCTCACATGTCAAACCGCCAGGCATCTGTCTCTCATCGTGTAGATTGGCGTGCACACCTGGAGTGGAATACTAACTTGTATTCTGCAGGAGGTTGGCGCAAGAAACAACTCTGTCTTCTTAACAGTGTTGTGCAGGCAGAGCGATTTGAGTTGCAACTGCGAGGTGTTGATCAACAACCCCTTGAACCAGGTATGGACCCCCTCACTGTTCGAGGAGTGATTTATGCAATTGTTCATTTGCCTTCAGGACGTTTTTATGTTGGACAGACGATGCATTTTGCACATCAACGGCTGCAAGAGCATTGGCATACACGGTGCTCTTCTGCTGCTTTTCGCTACTGCCATCTCTACCGTGCAATGTGTGGGCAACCAACATTCAACTTTGCTGCTTGGCCCTTGGAATGCATCAATACTACCCTTTATTATACGTCTGAAGGTCTTGTTGATCATGCCCTCTTTCGGCGGGCTGCTGCACGCCGCGAGGTTTTTTCGGTTCGTAAACTTCGAACTCTTCACCCAGTTGGTTTCAATGCAGTCCTTCCAATGGCTAGACTGTCGGCTCCACGATGACAATTTCGCCCTCATCGTTGGACACAAATGGGCCCTCGTCCCTTTGCTCCTCAGCCCCCTCTACCTCCTCATGCCTCAACTCCTCCTGTTTCCCTCCCTACCACATCTATTGCTGCTCCATCTGTTCCTGTACCGATTGATCCTTCTCACATAGCACCCCTTTTACCAACACCCGTTGGCTCTTATGTTGCACCCCTTTTATCTACCCCCGTCACTGTTTGCCTCTCTTGCCAACACCCCCTCACTGTTTAACTCTATTGCCAACACCTTTGGTTAGGTCCTTTGCTGTTGATCTTCGTCCAGGTCCCCAACTTATGATTCGTACCTCACTGCAGCGTCTTCTCACTGAAGCTGCTTCAGGTAATTGGTGTCGTGTCAAGGCTGCTATTGAGCAAGCAGCACCAACATGGTGGGTACGACTTTTGCAATGGCTTTACAATAATGTCTCCAATGCAGACATGACAGCAGACATTCGAGAACTCGAATGCCTCATCCGATACCCGCCAACGTTACACAGCACAACCTCGTGACCCATTTACTGACCACATCAAGGTCGTACATGCGCATGAGGTAGCTCGTGCTACAAACTTGCGCCATGTGTTACAATTGTCGGATGTAGTTGCATTGCACCCCGATCCTCAAGCAGCCACACATGTTCGTGTATGTGACAAACTGATGCCACCCACGCGTGTCCAGTTTTGTAACTTCACTGATGTGGTCTCGAGTGTTACTCCTGGCATGACCTTACCTGACTCTTTTGATTGCGAATGCCGCAGAGCCGTTCCACATTGTTTTGATATTGTGGATGGTCATATTGTGTCTGTTGACTACAATATTATCTCCGATGATAGCCTTCGCAAACTTTTTCACGAAGGCTCGAAGTATCAGCTGAATAGGGAAACTGCCGATGTGCTCCAGGCACTGGCGATTGGACTAGACGAGTACATTGCCAATTACAAAAGGTTGTTGGCCGAACATTCTCGATCTGCTTCTTTCTCGTCTCTTTCTCAGAAGCTGAACAGCTGGCGTTCTGCAATCCTTGCTCATTGTCAATCCAATGCATCTTAGTTCTCCAATCATGTGAGCCAGCCATGTTCACTACGTTCTACACATGCCTCCTTGCACCATCTTCAACAACACTTTGTTATTGTCCCTGTGGACAAAACATCACACAATTTGGTAATTTGCTGCAAGAATTGGTATCTGTTTCATCTCTCTACCCATTTGGACAGTCCCACTTATACTCGTCCTCAAGAGTCCGTTGCTGATGTCCTTGACCACCATGCAGTGCGGAATCACCATTGGGGTTACACCCACACTGATACCCTACCTTACCTTTACTATGTACTCAAAGCTCACAAGTCTCCTCCGGCTCTTCGCAGCATTCTTGGAGTCACAACACAAAATAATAGTGTTGTTCCCCCGCGTGCTCGCCCTCGTCCAACAATTCGCACCATTCATGAACGGCCTCCTCACAAATCCTTGGCTAGCACAACGACTACTTCGTCGTATCTCAGCGTTGCTTTGCAAGGAGTGATCTCTACTCTTCGTGAGAAAAACACTGAGCTCTATCAACAGTTTGGTGTTCGACGGTGCTGGATCGTTCAGAGTGCCGATGAAGTGGCGATTGACCTGAAAAACAATGCATCGTCTCTTCGTGGCCTCTCTCCTCGCACTGTTGATTTTACCACAATGTACACAAACCTTTCGCATGACCGCATTCTGAATAATGTGGCAAAAGTTATTGATGAAGCTCATGCTTATGCCCTTCGGCAAGCTCGCACACATTCATGCTGTGTTGCCCTCAACATGTTTATTCGAGGACCTAATTGTGGCCAATGGACAACTGATTCAGGCCCGGATACCCTTTCTGTTTTTCAGATTCTCCAACGTCTTCGCTTTGTTGTACAAAACACTTTCTATACACGAGAGATGGCATGCTTCGGAAACAAATTATCGGTATTCCAATGGGAAGGAATGTTGGCCCAAAAATTTATATTCTAACCCTGTATTGGGATGAAGCACGCTTTGTTGATGACATTCGTCAACATGATCTTCAAGCTGCTCAACAATATGCCTTCACCTATCGCCTCATTGATGATGTTCTTTTATGGGGACATTTACCTCCTCCACCAGAACACTATGGGTTGGAGTGGAAGGAGACTACAGCTACAGATGGCTCCTGTACCTTTTTAGGTATGCAACTACAGGTCCGTTCCGATGGCTCGCTTCGCATGAGCGTCTTTGATAAAGCGGCTGCTTGGGATTTCCCTGTCATTCGTTATCCAAGTGCGACCTCCAACATTCCTTCCCATCAACCGGCTGGTGTGTTCACTGGGCAATTGACCAGTTTTGAACAAATCTGTAACAATTGGCAGGACTTTCGAACTGCGGCAGCAACACTTACTCGTCGTATGCTTTCTCGTGGGCATTCCCCACCAACCCTTGCTAAGGGGTGGACCTGCTACATGCGCTCCCGCCAACGTCGCTATCCTGCACATGTGACGCGCCTCTCTCAGTGGTTCCGACGCATGTTGCAATGGTCCTTGTATCATCCAATTTCTTCTTCACTCCCACGATGCTCTCGTCCTGCCCTTGCTTACTCATCTGCTGCTACCGCAGTTTCCACTCCTGCAGTTTCCACTGTTGGAGTCTCCACTCCTGCAGTTTTCACTACTGCAGTGTCCACTGTTGCGGTTCCCACTGCTGCAGTGTCCACTACTGCAGTTTCCAGTGCTCCAGTTTCCACTGCTGCAATATCCACTGTTGCAGGTTCCACTGCTGCAGTGTCCACTGCTGCAGTCTCCATTGCTCCAGTGTCCGCTGCTGCAGTTTCTACTGTTGCGGTTTCCACTGTTACAGTTTTCAGTACAGCAGTTTCCCTAACTGTAATTCCCCTTACTTTAGTTTTTACTGCTACAGCATCTTGTCCTGCATCTCCAATGCAAAGAATATCACAATCTCTCTGAGGATCCTGTCCTTTGCTCTGAAATCTTGCCCAATGCAGCCCCCTCTCATCTTTGTTTGTGCTTGGCCGTAGACGACCCTCTCTTCTTTGTTTGTGCTTGGCCGTAGACGACTGTGTTCCTCCTCACCACCCCCATCTCCTCCACGGTCTCGCTTGCAAACAGACTCTCTAGTTTCCATTGTCCCCATTGGTCCACCTGCGTTGCTAGGTACTAGTTTAGCTTCTGTTTGCAACACCACTACTCCACTTGTTGTGTATCACCGACGACATCCGTGACATCGTCACTTGTCCGGGGATCAGCAACCTGTTTCTTTGTTTGCCCCGATTCTCTCTGTGCCTCCTCCACAGGTTGTTGCGGTTCCTTTGTTTCAAACAACAATATCCGCTCCTACGACTCCTGCAGACAGTCCATCTGCCTGCAGGCAGCCACCAGTCCCTACTCAGGATGCAACCGCTGCCCAGAGTACACTCCCGACTCCAGGTATAGTCCCTACTCAGGATGCAGCACTAAACGTCGAGGGATTGGAACATGATCTGCTCGGATCGCAGTTGACCCCACAAGGCGTAGACCACATGGGGGATCTGCAAATGGCTGACCAGCATTGTGCGGATGAAACACAATTTTGTGCTCCGCCACACGCAGACCACATGGGTGATCTGCAAATGACTGACCAGCAAACAACCCAACACAGTTTGGGTTTGCAACACCATCTGGGTGATCTGCAAATTGTTGGCCAGCATCCAACAAACCAGCCTGAGAACCTCATTAATCTCTGTGGTTTGACAACAACTAATATCTTTCTTCACATTCTCCATCACCCGTTTTATACACCATCAGACTTCCTTGGAATCGCCCTTCAACTTGATGCTGATCTTCCCCAACGACAGCCAGAGGATTGCAATTATACCAGCGAAGGAGGCTTTACGATTGATGTCCTACAAGTAGCAATGAGGGACCGTCAACTTGAACTACGCAATGCTCGAGCAGGTGAGTGGTTTAATCCTCCATCCCACATCTCTGCCTGCATTGTGCACGGCCCTGGCCATTACATGGCCACTGTACATGCCTCTGACCACTGGGAGCTGTGGGACAACGGCACCATGGTCCATGCCATGATTGATGTCACTGATTTCTTACAAAATTATGTTGTTTTCTTGCCACAACAAACCGTCCGCAATCTCTTTTATGTCGAAGATCACTCCTCTGGCCTCGTGTTGCAGCAAGACAATGCACCAACACTCTGCGACCTTCTCCTTTGCACAACCACAAACACTGTTACACTCGGCTGTAGCCGCCATCGTCTCTGTCACAATCACTACAATGACATGGTTTCTGCATCCATGTGTGCAGAGGACTGTCCCACCATTCCTGACTGCAGGGACCCTCCGCATCCGGACACTATATGTCCATTTTGCGGCCATGGGCGCTATACTGAATGCATGCTCTTTTGTGGTGACCGTTCTTCTTTCATTTT